TCAATGGCAAAACAGTAATAAAACTTGTCCTTTACATACCTCCAGAAAAAAAAACTAAAAATGAAATATCTGATGACTGTGTAAGCCAAGCTATAAAACTCATTTGTTTTTTTCCATCATTCAAGCAATTTTAAAGGAACATGATGCTCCGACTTGCTGAAACAGAACTTTGAGTTTATCTTCTGAAACTGTGGCAATATCTATAGCTTCAAACATTTTTAACATATGTTTCCATCTACTTTACTACAGTAAGTATGCATTCTAACACATCTCTAGCAGTAACTAACAAAAACTAATTCTTATACCTACTTTATCTAAAACTGTTTCAAATGTTGCTTATGACATTTCTATATTGATAATCATATCTTCATAACAAATTTCAAAAATCACTCATATAATTTTGACTCATTCTGAATTATGTGTTTATTTAAAAGTCATTTATGATGTAACATGTATTTGATAAATTTACTCTAGTCCAGAGATTCCCAACTTGTGTTCTGTGGAACCCTAAGATTCTGCCAATAAAATTTGGGTTTCCACAATAAAATCTGTTGAGTCTAGTGATATATGAACGTGCCAATGCAGATTTGGAATGTGAAGTGCAATTTTTCTAATCTTTGATTGAGTCCATTTATGACATCCTATACATGTGCTAGAGTTATACGAGGGCTGTCTTTTTTTTCAATCTCAGATGGTCCATAAAACAAAGACAAGTGTAAATAACAAAAATGAATTTATTACCAAAAGTTAGGTACAAACACTGTTACTTTTCAACATAATTACCGTAAAGATTGAGGCATTTGTCATATCTGTAGACGAGTTTTTCCATCCCCTTGTTATAGAATGTTGTCACCAATGACTTGAGATGGGCCTAACATTGTTTTGAAAATCATCATTAGTTCATTAATCTCAAACCTCAACACTGCTAGCCACATTTTCAGTTCAGGAAAGAGGTGGAAGTTGTCACATTAAAAAGTTTGAAGCTGGGTAGAAGACTTCACCATCTTTAAACACCCAGCATATAGTCCCGATTTAGTGCCGAGCTACTTCCACCTCTTTCCTGAATAGAAAAAGTGGCTAGGAGTGCAGAGGTTTGAGACTAATGATGATCTTCAAATCAACGTTAGGGCCCTATCTCAAGTCATTGGCAGCAACATTCTATGACAAGGGAATGGAAAAGCTCGTTCACAGATATGACAAATGCCTCAATCTTCACAGTGATTATGTCGAAAAGTAACCATGTTTGTACCTAACTTTTGGTAATAAATTCATTTTGTTATTTACACTTGTCTTTTTTTTTTATCGAAGCTTGAGAAAAAAACAGCCTAAGTAGCTTTATAAACAGTGGGGACCAATTTATCATAATGAAATGAACCAAAATCATGATATAATGTTTGACAAGATAATGAAAACCATAAATATAGTAAAACTTAACCTAAAGCTAGAAAAATCATTCAAAAAAATAAACTTAAAAGTATCCAACATATAAATAATAATACAATCATTATATATGATTTAAATATGATGCAGTGCAAGCATATTGAATGTAATGATGGGAGTGGACAGTCAGATGTCTGGTGGAACTGTACTGTACATACTATGATACTAGTGATGGGACACTCATGTCAGACAAGTGTCACATGTCGCCAAGGAGTTAATGTTCCATCATCTGTAGTGTGAAGTACGTACAACAGTACAGCATACAAGCAAGCATATCAATCAAAGATTATTAGTTTTTCACTGCAATCATTTTGTGATAATTTAAGTATTTTTTCATATAAAAATATAGTGGGAATTGTATAAATTTATAGTGCTTTTAGTATTGTGTATATCCAAAATTAAAAAATCATGGAGTGTTGTTGACTGAGAGAAGAGTTTTGAAGAAAAATATAGCAAGTACTTCAAATGTTTCTAGTGACAAAGAGACTGAAAGGACAGATATAAACAAAGGTACAGATCCAGGAATAGCACTGTTTAAAATATTGAGAGAAAAGAAAAGAAGTTTAACCCTTCACATTAATGACCAGTTTGAATTAAGTAATAATACTTGCTTCCCATTATTAATTTTCTTTTCTTTTTCTGCATTTTCAATAAATTGTTTTTGGTGTTACTATTTGCTGTTTTATCTATAACCATTAAAAACTGTCAAGGTTCCGACATTTTTTTAGTAAGGGTGAAAAGGATTCCGCGATAAAAATAAGTTGGGAACTGCTGCTCTAGTCAAAATGTTCAAATACAAAGAGAAATTCTATGTAAATTATTAACAATTGTTATTGTTTGCTTATCTGTAAATATATTATTCACACATTGTTATGATTAAGTTTATTATTCAATTTATAATATTTGTTCCAAAATTTCAAATTATGCAAAAGAACAGTCATTTTCCAATTGAAACTGTCAATTCCCTAACATTGTATTATTTTTAATGAAAATTTAAAAAAACAGAAAAATTAACTCAATTTGTTATTTCATAAATAATAATGATAAAAAACTTTTTAGTGGTTTTTCTGTAAAATAAAGTATTTTGAATGATTTGATTTAAAAATAAATATTTAATCTAATTAACCTATATTTATGTTTAGAAAACTTAAATTCATTAAAACTTCAAATCTTTTTAATGATTTTTCTATTTTGATGCTTAATTAAGTATAATATGACATGATATATAAAAACTGCACTACCACACAATATAGAGATAAACATTTACAAACATAAAATATTTTGATTATTATTAACATTCATTATGAATTTTATTGTCTTTCTATAAGCAATAGGAAATATATTTTTGATCAAGATATCCTGTTAGAATTCAGCACTCCAACATCAAATTCTCATAAATACAAAATTTAAAACAAAAATTAAATTTTTACTGTCATAAAGTATTGACAGTAAAAATTTTAAATAAATAAAGAAAGAAATATAGATATTAATTACATAAAACAAACAAAATTAGGTAATTAAAATAAATTAAAAAAATTATATTCAAAAATATTTCTATTCTTGCTTTTAAAAACATTAAATGTTTCTTTTATTAATTCTGTTTAATTATTAATGTTTAACATAAATAAAAAATACAGGAGCTTTGCAGTTTATATCTCACATGCTAGTAGATGAACCAAATAAGTGATATATCAGTGGCACAATATAACTGATGTATCTATCTACCTGTTTCATCCATTTTCATTCTCCATGCCAACTTGCTTTTTTTTAGGTTCTATTTCATACAATGCTACTTTCAGTGTCAACGATTGGAATAAAGTAATATTTCTTTGGCAGTAGAAATTCAATGACAATCAATCTTTTCAAAATTTTTGACTAAAGTACGTTTATATTTGGAAGATGAAAAAAAGGCATAATATATCCAAACAAAGATATAACAAGGGACTACAGTATTTTAAAAATGTGTTAATAAATTTGATTACTTGTGTGTTAAATGTTGGATCCTTCACACTAGAAGATTATTTTTTATTAGCTTATTTACTATTATATTACAATTTCTTATTAATTTTCAAATTATAAACTAGTTCACTTAATTTATCATAATTATTAGCTATAAATACTTATATTTGTNAGCAGCCGTGGATGCGTATTTCGACAGTCTTCCGGATTCTCACTTTAGGGATGGAATCCATAAATTAGAAGATCACTGGAACAAGTGTATTGAAGTTCAGGGAGATTATATTGAATAATAAAATGTATTTCAAACCATAAAATCGTGTTTTTCTTATCGAACGACAAAACTTATTGAACAACCTGGTATGACCTACATACAGATATGATTGATAATCATTAATCTAAGTAAATTCAAACTTATCATTAGCAACATAACGATAATTATAAGTTTGCTCCAGAACTAAAATAACAAAAGGGAATCTATTTAAGACAATTCAGCATAACATAGAAATAATTTGACTGTAAAGAATAAAAATAGCACTGCAGAAATTGCTACATAAAAGTGAACTTTATTTTATTAAAAAACATTTCAGAATGACTGCCTTCAGTGGCAATACAAAGATGTAGGCAGTCAAGTATGGTCTTATAGATGGCATGTAGCATTCCTGATGTCACTGTTTCACAGACTTCTCATATGCATCTCTCCAGTTTGCCAACATCACACAGTGCTGCTGGGTACGTATTATACACCAACGGTTTCAGGTGATCCAACAGAAATTTATGATTAAGAAGAGACAAGTGTGGGTAACACAGTGGTCATAGAAAAGTATCATGTTATCCTATCCAGCAGTTGCTAGCAGCTCTATGAGCCACTGATAAACATCTATCCAGAAATGAGATGATGCATCATCATACTGGTACCAAACTGCTGTAGTTGCACAAATGGCAAGTCTCTGAGCCATTCACCCTGTGTCATGATTATGATGTTCAAATACTGGTTACTATCAGGTGTCATCAATGAATACAGGACAAGGGAGCTTTCTCCCCAAATTCCATACCAGATGTTTAGAGTAAAATACACCTGCATACATTATGGAACATGCTCTGCCCAGTGGTACAGATTATGATGGTTAAATGCTCCATTCCAAGAAAACAGTGCATTGTCAATCCATTAAATATAATAAAAGAGTTGTGATTCACATTTCCGTAAATTTAACAAGTTGCACCACTCAAATCAATGTGTCACATCATCTGCATATTGTACTGGTTGCAGATTGCAGTGGAATGGGTGAGTGTCATGGTGATGTAATATCTGATGTATTTGTTTCTGCTTCAGTCCAAAACCTAATCTAGCCTAACCAATGCTGGAAAGACATGTCTTTTGCCCCTAAATATATATTTAAGTGGGTATAATGTACATACTATATTGATTCTATTAAAAAATGTGAAAATATAACTGATTGAAAAAATAGTGAAAACCATTTCCACTGGTCATCTTTAGTTAACACAACAATAAAAAAAAAAAGTTTTTTAAAATGCTTGTCACAATGCTTCTAAAAATTAATTAGCATATTTTAATATTTTTATGTTGTTTAATTTTCCCTTACCTTCACATTATTCATGCTTAATATATTACCACAATCATCCATATATTGTTTGAGATCTTTTTCCTGCAAATAAAGTAAAATTACTTAAATTATCAAATATCATTTTTTTATTCAATCAACAATATATATTATTTTTATTAAAAAATAGCTAAAATAAAGATTACAACTTTAATATTCATATTCTTATTTTTTTTCAATATCGAAATAAAATGAAAATTCTTTTTGCAAATAATTATGAAATTTAACTCCTATTTTTATTTCTAACATTTAACAAGAAGTTATAATAAAAAATTGTTTAAAATTATTATGTTCTTAAAAACGTTTTTTTTTTTTTTCTTTTTTCAGTTGGCCGTATTTCTTTATGCAGCACTCGAGAAGCGCTTTACAGTGAACACTCTGAAGCCCATTTCTAAATGGCCAACACTGCTTGTGACGTCATTTCACTACACTCTTGCTGCATAAATAAATGCAGCCGTTGCTTTTAAATTAAGTAAAAAATACATAATTTATGATTTAATTTAAGAAATTAATGTTTTTAACTTAATAAACTTATTGTATTATTTAACAAATATACTTTATCTGAAAAAAAAAAAACATTTCAAAAAATTTTGTCATTTTCTTTTAATTTTTAATAAATTTTCCATTTACTAAATTAGATAAAATATAATAACTCTATCCACTTTTTAAAATTATAATTATCTTTTTTGACAATGTACAGATTTTTATAACTTTAAAGAATATTTAAGCATTTTATTAGCTGTAGTTATGCTATTTAAAAAAAAAAACTCATTTTATAAAAATAAAAACTTAAAACTACAATAAGTAATTTTGTTATTAATTTTATCTTTATTTATTTATATTTAAAGACTAACAAATTAAATGATTTTATTAAAATATTTAATTAACAGTTTTAAAATTTTTAAATTATTAAAAACTTACCAAATATTCAAATACTAAGGTTAAAGACTTTTCTGTGTGAACAATATCATGTAAAGTCACAATATTATTGTGTTTCAAATCTTTTAATAATGATACTATAAAATAAAAATTTAGCAAATTAATTCAGTATTATTTATTAAATAAAATTATGTCTATAACAAAGCTTATAAACACAAAGTAATACAGCAAAACTGCCCAAGTTGGAATCTTACATGTCCATAAAATATTTCTACCTCAGAAGATTGATAGACATTGCAACATAAATGGCTTCCTATAAAAACTGAAAAATTTCAGAATTTTGTTTTTCATTTTTATTAACTATTGGTAATTATTAAAAAGAGTAAGTGCAGAACAAAATATGAAAATCAATGTTTCACATTTAAAAATCCTGTTTAAAGCCCAACAAAACTTAAATGTTTAGAATTTCAAATCATATTACTAGTATCAATTTTATCATTGAAGTAACTGCTTCAGTGACAGTCCACAACAGCAGCAGCAAGATGGCCGAGCGGTCAAGGTGGCAGCTTACCACTCTGAGGGACCCGGGTTCAAATCTGAATGGGTCGAAAAATCCCCAGGCATTTTTCGGGGGGTAGTCCGTCCGGATATGTCAGGCCCAGGGTTACCGCTCCTTGGTTTTAAAACCCAGATCTGGGTTTTTCAACCTTCTCTTGGTTTTGAGGTTGTTTTTTCAAATTTTCATAAAATATGGGTTTTTTTTTTTTAAATATGACTTAAAATAAAATAAAAGATGTCTGAGGCATCTTTTGTTTTATTTCAATAAACATAAAATGACTTAAATAATAAAAAATTTAGATTTTAGAAACAAAAACGAAAAGCATGATACTTTATTTGTTGAATCCTGAATCACATGGAGTTAAAAACACTCAGATACACTTAAGCACTTGCTCAAGTTATGAAATCATACCCCGCAATGATTTGCTATCATGACACAAGCAGCAACATCTTAACTCCAGCTACTTAACCCTGGGCTAGTGCAGTGGGGTGTTTCGCCACCCCCAACGTTTTAAAAGTTGCACTATTCATAGATTTCGCAAGAAATATTTGTGTCCTCTTCAGTAGCTTTATGATTTTATGTATAGAGCATGCTCAGAAATTACTACGATGCTGCAGAAATTCCAGTAAGAGAAAAACAACAGTTTTCAGTAGGGTGTCCAAACACCCCACAGTATTAATTACGTTTTTTTTAAATTTTACAAATATTTATTTAGTTTTTTTTATTTTAAAAATAACTATAATGTGACCACATTTATTATTTATAATATAGATATAATAATCAATGTGAATAAAAATAATTTAAGTTTATTTTAATTCAAAATGGCTGACTTTCATAAACACATTGAGAAAATACCAAACATAGCAAGTTGCTTGTCATTTGCAATGAGTGCCAAAGTACAATGTCAGCTATTGAATCAGAGTGACAAAAATGCTTAAAAAACAATTTAGATTTTTACTATTGGTTTAATAATAAGATCTAATGTAATGAGTTTTGATAAATGTTGTTTTTTATTTTCATGGATTTATGTACTAATATAATATGTAATCATACCTGAATATAATCATATGTATAATGACACATGCCTTTACCAAATAAATAAGTAAATCTTTATGAATTTTTACTTACATGGTTTATGGACCCAAAAAAATGCCGGGGTGGACAAACGCCCCACTGCACTAATGCCGAAAAAGATCTCAGTGCACTAACGCAGGGTTAATTAAAAGTCTGGATGGCTTACATGTATTTTGAAATTAAAATGTATTGCTTTATGCAATAATGTTTGTAACATCGTGGTTTGAAAATGTATAAAGTAGTAATATTTTTTATTCTTAAATATGGGCATGATATTTATATATGTTGTATATTTTGAAAATATACAGTACATTGTAAGTTTGTATATGAAATAGTGTAAGTTTTAGAAGAAAAGTTTTAGGAGAATTAAAATGATGGCAGCTAAACACATTGCATTTATTCTATTAATTCTTAAATGTGAATAATTATATACAGTATTTAATAAGTGTAACTTACTTACAACACAATGTTAGTGTTCTAAATTTTAAGAAATGGACTTATTGAGTCTAATATTGTATATAAATTATCTGTGGCAATTATGGGTTCGGCCAGGCACACAATGGGAGCAGCCGGGTGGTGAGGGATATGTCAGCTTATGTTTCCCAACATTAATTGCGGAAAATGAACTTAACTAGTTAGATGACGAATGGCGATCATTTTGTTTAGCAAAAGATTTGATCATACAATATAATAGTATACCAGAATATTGGTTCTTGTTGTACAATATACAGGATGGGTTTGATAAATGTAAATATGCCCTACTATCTCCATTTATGACGCAGCTCACAGTTCTTCCACATTCCTCAGCCAGTGTCGAGAGAATATTTTCGCAAATTAACAACATTAAGACCAAACAAACTAACAGGTTATCTGTTGAATCGTCAAAGAACTGGTTGCTTGCTAAACAAGCAATCAGTAGAAAAATTTTAGCTGTTCTCTGTATGAACTGGAACCTAAACTAATTAGAGATGCAGTACACAGAATTTGCCACCAAAGGTATAAGAAGCGACAAGAAGAGCATAAAGATTGTGCAGAACTGTTAATGGAAGAAGAAGAAACAGAGTAACTGAAATAACATTAACTACTGTATAAATTAGATAATAAATGGTTTTTTAAATTTGTATTACAGTGTCTGTAATTATAACAGCATGAATGTACTACAATAAAGTATTTATAATTATATTTTAAATCATGAATTTTTCTGGGTAAATAATCTGGGTTTTTAAACTCCCCATCTGGGTTTTTTTCCATCCAGACAAAAGTTTTTTCATATGTTGTGAGTGGCATCCCTGATTGGGCCCCGTCCCTCACCACCTGGCAGCCTGGCCAAACCCATAATGGGCTTGCAAAAAGAGGCCCTCTTAGTGCCCACAGGGTGGAAAGAGTTAAAAAAAAAAGTCCACAACAGCTAGAATTTTTCCAACATAGTAAAGTTATTTATTTCCTTAGCAAATTCCTCCAAAGCAAAAATTTTAGTCAGGGCTTTTAAAAACTTGATGATCTAGTCATCTCAGAGAACTTGATATACTATTCTGTATCCTTCTCCATCAGTAGTCAATTCATGATCGACATCATCATCAATACATTTAAGAGATTAGATAAGTTCAGCCAAAGTTTGGCATCAAGTCATTGTTAAAGAACAGATCTTTAATGCACAAAAGAAATCTTTTCCAAAATGAGTGAAAAAGCCTAACAGAAATAAAAAAAGGAAAACCAATTACTGCTGCCATGTGTGGCATTTGAGGCATAAATTTATAGCTTTCAAATAGTGTCAATTTTTTCCACATGAATGTTTCCACGTTAGTTTTCTTTCTTTTGTGTGCTTCTTTATTTATTTTATTACTACTGTATTATGTTTTTGATTTAATTTAGTGTGAATCTGGACTGCTCTCCTTTTAGTTTTGGTTTTGATTCTTTGACTGACATGACTTACATTCCTTAGAGACTTTAGAAATCTATATTGCTGAGAAGAAAGGATGATGCATTAACTCTGATAACATTACAGTACCGCAAGCATGAAAATATTTTATAGATTCATTTAATTCATTACAGCATTTAATGTTTTTAACTTTAATATTTAATATCATGTCATGTAAAGGCTTTTCATTTATTTTTATTTTTATGCTTTCAACTCCGTCACAACACGTATTGTGTTCTATCTATTTTAAATGTAATGGTATTCTCTGTCAAACGAAAGAACTGTTTTTTTCATTTCTTGTTTTATTTCCTGATGAGGGTCTCTAAATTGTGGCCTAAAATGCTAGAACATATAGATATTTGCTGGAAATCGTAAATAGGTGTTAATTTCACTGTTGTACTGTTCCAGTTTTGCTGTGTGCTGTTATTTAATTGTCCTCTTGGACTATTAAAAATTTATAAGGTATTTTTGAAAATATTAATGCCCAATTAAGAGTCATATGATTATAATTTTAAAATATTCTGAAAATGTTCAATCTTACAATCTATAAAAAAAATTTCTGAATTTTCTTTCTATTAAAAAGAACAATTATTTTCAATAAATTACCTAGTTAATGAACAAAAAAGAAGTTAGATATTATATAATCAATAATGTATGTAGTGTGTAATTTTTTTTATATTGAAGGTTTATTATGAAAGTATTGCTTTATTTGTTTATTTTTCATTTATAGCAGAAAAAGAAAATGATTCTGTTCCAGTTGTGATCATAAATGATCACAACTGAACACAATTATTAAAGAGATGATATTAAAGATTAAATTAATGACAAATTTAGATAAGCCATTTTAATTAAAACAATAAATACAAAACACTAAAAATTGTTTCTTCACCTTCTCTTATTGCAGTGCATGGTGCACCTTCTTCGTGTTCTAAACGGATCTCTTTCAAAGCTACTAAATTATCTGTTAGTCGACTCTTTCCCTTATACACTGTAGCATATGTCCCCTATAAAAATTTATGCATAATAATATAAATAAGAAAAATGCTTTAGTTAAAAATTTTAATATTAACTGGTATAACAAATAATTAAACAATAATTAAAATAAACATGGAATTATTTCTTTAGAAAAATTTTAATGACAATTAGCACTTATACAATATATAGTATACGACAAAGCCAAAAATATAAATTTTGTAATAGTAAAAACAGTAATAAATATTTTTTGCATGTTTATGATAGATCAATGTACAGTACATACTACATGTATTATTTCAACTTGTAGAGGATGACAAGATTTCATACCAGACAGAATGAAAGAATTTCTGATGGTAAACACTATTCAACATTACTCCCGGAGGCTATCATTTTATGATCGATCAATCTTTTCAACAGTCTTGCATTGGCAATTCTTCAAGTAGTCAAAGTTCAATGGCAAAACAGTAATAAAACTTGTCCTTTACATACCTCCAGAAAAAAAAACTAAAAATGAAATATCTGATGACTGTGTAAGCCAAGCTATAAAACTCATTTGTTTTTTTCCATCATTCAAGCAATTTTAAAGGAACATGATGCTCCGACTTGCTGAAACAGAACTTTGAGTTTATCTTCTGAAACTGTGGCAATATCTATAGCTTCAAACATTTTTAACATATGTTTCCATCTACTTTACTACAGTAAGTATGCATTCTAACACATCTCTAGCAGTAACTAACAAAAACTAATTCTTATACCTACTTTATCTAAAACTGTTTCAAATGTTGCTTATGACATTTCTATATTGATAATCATATCTTCATAACAAATTTCAAAAATCACTCATATAATTTTGACTCATTCTGAATTATGTGTTTATTTAAAAGTCATTTATGATGTAACATGTATTTGATAAATTTACTCTAGTCCAGAGATTCCCAACTTGTGTTCTGTGGAACCCTAAGATTCTGCCAATAAAATTTGGGTTTCCACAATAAAATCTGTTGAGTCTAGTGATATATGAACGTGCCAATGCAGATTTGGAATGTGAAGTGCAATTTTTCTAATCTTTGATTGAGTCCATTTATGACATCCTATACATGTGCTAGAGTTATACGAGGGCTGTCTTTTTTTTCAATCTCAGATGGTCCATAAAACAAAGACAAGTGTAAATAACAAAAATGAATTTATTACCAAAAGTTAGGTACAAACACTGTTACTTTTCAACATAATTACCGTAAAGATTGAGGCATTTGTCATATCTGTAGACGAGTTTTTCCATCCCCTTGTTATAGAATGTTGTCACCAATGACTTGAGATGGGCCTAACATTGTTTTGAAAATCATCATTAGTTCATTAATCTCAAACCTCAACACTGCTAGCCACATTTTCAGTTCAGGAAAGAGGTGGAAGTTGTCACATTAAAAAGTTTGAAGCTGGGTAGAAGACTTCACCATCTTTAAACACCCAGCATATAGTCCCGATTTAGTGCCGAGCTACTTCCACCTCTTTCCTGAATAGAAAAAGTGGCTAGGAGTGCAGAGGTTTGAGACTAATGATGATCTTCAAATCAACGTTAGGGCCCTATCTCAAGTCATTGGCAGCAACATTCTATGACAAGGGAATGGAAAAGCTCGTTCACAGATATGACAAATGCCTCAATCTTCACAGTGATTATGTCGAAAAGTAACCATGTTTGTACCTAACTTTTGGTAATAAATTCATTTTGTTATTTACACTTGTCTTTTTTTTTTATCGAAGCTTGAGAAAAAAACAGCCTAAGTAGCTTTATAAACAGTGGGGACCAATTTATCATAATGAAATGAACCAAAATCATGATATAATGTTTGACAAGATAATGAAAACCATAAATATAGTAAAACTTAACCTAAAGCTAGAAAAATCATTCAAAAAAATAAACTTAAAAGTATCCAACATATAAATAATAATACAATCATTATATATGATTTAAATATGATGCAGTGCAAGCATATTGAATGTAATGATGGGAGTGGACAGTCAGATGTCTGGTGGAACTGTACTGTACATACTATGATACTAGTGATGGGACACTCATGTCAGACAAGTGTCACATGTCGCCAAGGAGTTAATGTTCCATCATCTGTAGTGTGAAGTACGTACAACAGTACAGCATACAAGCAAGCATATCAATCAAAGATTATTAGTTTTTCACTGCAATCATTTTGTGATAATTTAAGTATTTTTTCATATAAAAATATAGTGGGAATTGTATAAATTTATAGTGCTTTTAGTATTGTGTATATCCAAAATTAAAAAATCATGGAGTGTTGTTGACTGAGAGAAGAGTTTTGAAGAAAAATATAGCAAGTACTTCAAATGTTTCTAGTGACAAAGAGACTGAAAGGACAGATATAAACAAAGGTACAGATCCAGGAATAGCACTGTTTAAAATATTGAGAGAAAAGAAAAGAAGTTTAACCCTTCACATTAATGACCAGTTTGAATTAAGTAATAATACTTGCTTCCCATTATTAATTTTCTTTTCTTTTTCTGCATTTTCAATAAATTGTTTTTGGTGTTACTATTTGCTGTTTTATCTATAACCATTAAAAACTGTCAAGGTTCCGACATTTTTTTAGTAAGGGTGAAAAGGATTCCGCGATAAAAATAAGTTGGGAACTGCTGCTCTAGTCAAAATGTTCAAATACAAAGAGAAATTCTATGTAAATTATTAACAATTGTTATTGTTTGCTTATCTGTAAATATATTATTCACACATTGTTATGATTAAGTTTATTATTCAATTTATAATATTTGTTCCAAAATTTCAAATTATGCAAAAGAACAGTCATTTTCCAATTGAAACTGTCAATTCCCTAACATTGTATTATTTTTAATGAAAATTTAAAAAAACAGAAAAATTAACTCAATTTGTTATTTCATAAATAATAATGATAAAAAACTTTTTAGTGGTTTTTCTGTAAAATAAAGTATTTTGAATGATTTGATTTAAAAATAAATATTTAATCTAATTAACCTATATTTATGTTTAGAAAACTTAAATTCATTAAAACTTCAAATCTTTTTAATGATTTTTCTATTTTGATGCTTAATTAAGTATAATATGACATGATATATAAAAACTGCACTACCACACAATATAGAGATAAACATTTACAAACATAAAATATTTTGATTATTATTAACATTCATTATGAATTTTATTGTCTTTCTATAAGCAATAGGAAATATATTTTTGATCAAGATATCCTGTTAGAATTCAGCACTCCAACATCAAATTCTCATAAATACAAAATTTAAAACAAAAATTAAATTTTTACTGTCATAAAGTATTGACAGTAAAAATTTTAAATAAATAAAGAAAGAAATATAGATATTAATTACATAAAACAAACAAAATTAGGTAATTAAAATAAATTAAAAAAATTATATTCAAAAATATTTCTATTCTTGCTTTTAAAAACATTAAATGTTTCTTTTATTAATTCTGTTTAATTATTAATGTTTAACATAAATAAAAAATACAGGAGCTTTGCAGTTTATATCTCACATGCTAGTAGATGAACCAAATAAGTGATATATCAGTGGCACAATATAACTGATGTATCTATCTACCTGTTTCATCCATTTTCATTCTCCATGCCAACTTGCTTTTTTTTAGGTTCTATTTCATACAATGCTACTTTCAGTGTCAACGATTGGAATAAAGTAATATTTCTTTGGCAGTAGAAATTCAATGACAATCAATCTTTTCAAAATTTTTGACTAAAGTACGTTTATATTTGGAAGATGAAAAAAAGGCATAATATATCCAAACAAAGATATAACAAGGGACTACAGTATTTTAAAAATGTGTTAATAAATTTGATTACTTGTGTGTTAAATGTTGGATCCTTCACACTAGAAGATTATTTTTTATTAGCTTATTTACTATTATATTACAATTTCTTATTAATTTTCAAATTATAAACTAGTTCACTTAATTTATCATAATTATTAGCTATAAATACTTATATTTGTTACTTACTTCTCCTAATTTATGTAACTTGGTATATGTTTCCATCTTTCCAAAACCTATTTCAGACTATAAAAAATAATATAACATAATGAAAATTATTATATATTTTTAATAATTTAAAATTAAACTTTTTTATTAAATAAAATTTGAAAAACTTAAAACATATTTATTTTTTTTATAACTTACATACTTAATATAAAACATTTTTTCACTGTAGAAGAAATATATATTTATATTACTGTATATAATTTTGTTTTAATAAAACTGGGAACAAAATTGAAAGACATATATCAATTTTATATTCAATATATAAGATCAATTTTACAATATTTTATAATAATTCACAAATTCAAAATGTGAATTATATAAAAATTTATAAAATTTTAAGCCAATGAATAATCCTTTAAATTTTTATTTATAATATTCTCTAAATGTAATCTGGTGCTAAAATAAAATGCCTTCTTCAGCAATTTATTTATTTTTTAAATATATCTAAAAATAATAGAGGACTGCTTTTTTTGAAATTGCAGAATTTCTTGTACTGAAACCACTTTCTTTCATAAATTTTGTATGGTTAATGATTTGTATTAATTTCAAGGATTCATTTTGACACTGAAATGCATCATAAAAAGATATTTAACTTATTTCATCGTTAACTATACAAAATTTATAAAAGAAAGTGGATTCAATAAAAGAAATTTTGCAGTTTCAAAAAAAACATTAAACTTATATTATTTCTCCCCTCTGCATTTAATTTAAAGCAGAGGGGAAAAAATTGTTAAAAGACTTGTTCATTATTATCAATTGTTTCTTCATATATTACTAATGATCTACTGTAATTTAATTACAAAATTATTTACAGTTAGATATATAAATAAAATAATAAAGTATATGTAAACAGTTTGAATTGTACAGAATAAAAAATGCTTTCTGCTGTCTGTTTTTTATTGTGTACACATGCATGCACATGCACAAACACAAATAAAAGAGAAATCAGATAGCTTTTTTTAAGAATTATATTTAATTTCTTACTTAGAAATACTTTAATTGAGCAATTATTTATTGTGACATCGCCACAATGCAGAGCTGCAATTTTTAATCATATTTTCAATTTATTTTATTTAAAATATATGCTTTCCATCTCAAATTAGTAGCGGCTTGCCCCTGTACATCATACTTTTCCTTTAACAATAGTCGTTCCAGTCATCTATCTAACACCTTTCAGGGAAAAATTTTTGAATTGAAATAAACATAACTTCTGATTTGCATCAGAAGTTTGCATATAATAATTGGGGCCTCCTACATGTAAGGTTTCCATATGTGGTCTCATTTTTCATTTATCTAACTCCATTCTCAAGACTAAGGAGACAAATTTACAGGTCTACAATTTTTTTTCAAATTGCAGCCCAAAAATATCCACTCTACATTCTATATCTATATCTATTGTATATTCTATATATTTTACATATTAAAAGTACAATGTTCCATCAATGCCAAAACCAAAACTGAACTCTTGACTGCCTGGATGAAATATAACCAAATCAATCAAGAGAGACAACAAGTACTTTATCCATACTTTACAAAATATTATGTTTCAGTTAACTTGATTTTAATTTCAATTTTAATTAGTTAGTTAATTAATTAATTAAGATTTTATTTTTAATTTTAGTTTCAGTTTTGTTTCTATTTCAGTATAAAAACCAAAGTTTAAATTTTTTTTAAATTTAAATTAAATTATTATTTTTAGTTTTAATTAACTGGCTACCTAGTTACATATACAGACAAATACCCAGTGCACCAATACTCCCCCTACAAAGATGAACTGATATGCCAGCTTATTGAGTTTACCGGCATACTGGATGCTGTATTAACAGAATTTATGTTTTGTTTATAATTTTTAAATGATGTCATGTAACATTTGAATATTCCAGTTTGGAACTTAGTAGAATATTTGATTTTTGAACAGTTTGAAAACATGAGGCATGCTTCTAAGAGGACAAAAATGTTTGTTCCATTAAAGACTTTTGCTAGAAAATGTATTGAAGGTGTTGTATGGCTTACCGTTAACAAGGTTCCAGCTTCTAAAAGTTATATAATGAAAAAACGAATCACTTTTTTTTCTTGTTTTTTATACTGTCATGTAATAAAATTAATTGCAAACATTTTCTTTAAATATTCTAATTTTTTACAGAAGTGATTATTTCAGTTAATTATGAAATAAAAATACTTTTTTACTGTAAAAGTACAGCATGTTTTTATTTCATGATTATCCAATTTAAAGGAAATAGAACTGATAACTTACCAAAGATTGTCTTCTTACTGTCCTGCTTATTGGACCTTCCAAAGTTGGACTTATTATTTGTTTTTCAAGAAAACTGTTTGGCAAATGCAGATCAACTGGCAGTGAAAGTCTTTTACTAATATCCTAACAAAAAAAATGTAAGAAAAATTTGTATTTATTTAATTGTAATAAAATAAATAATTTATTTTTATTTTTATTTTGTACAAATAAATAAATTCTTAATTCTTTTTTTTAGGCAGTTAAAAAGGTTTCATCTGGCAACAGCAATTTATATGAAAGTACTGAATGTTCTTATAATATACAATTGTATTAAGGAATTTTGTTTTTAAAGTGTCAAAATATAAATTAGTAAGTATTCTTTTAGTTATCAAGTAAATGATTATGAAAAAACAACAGGACATTCAATTATCTGAATTTGCTGAAAATATAAAATTCATAAAAATTTATCAGAAAACAGAAATTGCAGTCTTACAATGAAATGTATAGTTTGATATTATTATATCTAAGCAATATAACTTTCATTGGGAGGCCAAAATTGCTTACTATTTGTTAAAATAAACTATCATTTAATGTAAATTCTTATAGGCAGTTCTACATAATAACATTAATGAGAATTAAAGTATTTTGTAATCATTATTTAAATGTATTCTCTCTTAATACATACTAATTAATACATACATTAAGGAATCTGTTTCATGATATTTTGCCATTTCTTTTATTTTATCTCCTAGATATTATATATTTCATTCATTCCAATCTTTCCACATTCATAGATTTATGTTACTTGAAAATATTTCATTAACTAATTTTATTGTTTTTCAAAGTTTCATGTACACATACAACCTGAAAAACTGATTATTTACCTATTATTTTCTGTACTGGCATATTTTTTGTATTACTCAAATAAAAAATATTTTTGCATAAAGTATTCATTCCAGCTACTAAAGTAACTGGATAGAGTTACTGTTAGAATACAAAAGATGTTTGAGACTCATATATCTTAGCATCGCTATGTAATATTTTATTTGAGCAGTTGATTTAATTATAAATAGAAACTTTTAAATTTCAATAAGACCTATTGAAAACAAAAACCTTAATAAAATGGAAACCTTCCTAACAGAAAGAAAAAGAAAACTTCAGAATGGAGTGATATTTCTACATTATATTTTACTATAAGTCAGAAATCTGTCTAATGTGAAAATGGAATATGTTTTTGGGTACAAAAAAGTAATTTAACCTAAATAAAGTGGAAAATTATAATTTCTCTTGTATAAAATATTATTTCCAGATATAATGAGACACTGCAGAGTATGACAAACTATTCCAAAAAGAATTTCAAACTTTTTCAGAGAAATGGTTATGTTACAAAAAAAAAGGACATACAAATACAAGGTCTATGTTAATATAGTCTTTGCTTAAATTAACCAAGGACATTTTTTATCACTTGTATATATGAGATAAATCTTATAAGAATATATAAGAAATATATAAGAAAAGAAGAAAAAACCACTGTCTTGCCTATATATGAGAATGATAATGAGATTAAGCCAGAACTAGAACAGGCTAACCCTAATACGAAGAAAATACCACATAAACCAGCTTAGCAATTTAGAAGTGTTAGAAATATTTAAGGTAAACCTCCAGAGCCTATATATCAATTTTAAAAAAAAGAAACAAATCTCAAGATCATAGCAAGTTATTTTTGACCTGACATTATAGTAAGCACAAAAGTGCATCCTACTGGATATTCAACAGAAAAATTTAAAAACAAACATTCAAATTCAAATACATCAAAATCAATTCTAACAACACATCTAAATTTTATGCTCGGCAAAAATTCAGGTGTGTTATTATAATTAATTGTAATTGCTGAGAGAAAGGTGGATACATCAGAATATTATATGCATTCCAAGCTAGAACACTAGCATTGGAGAGATTGGATTTTTTTAGGTAACTCCACCCAAGGAAGAACCTAAGTGTGAACAAAAAACATTCATAACAGTTTTCACAATTAAATGCAAGGCTTAAAAAATAAGGTTAAGCAAGTTTCATTTATATTTTGTACAAAAACACTAAGCTTCACAATAAGTTTTTCTTCATTATGAAACAAAGACCTTGTTAATTTACTTTGAGCTTCAAAGAAGTCTAAACATAAGAACAGTTTTCCTTAAAATTCTAGGTAATATGTATATTAGAGTATATCAAAGAGAAGATGGGGTGCTGCAGTTCCATACATTAATTTTGTTACTTTAGAATAAAAATAAATATAATAATGCATAAGACATGACTTCAATTAGGTAAGATTAGATAACTAAAGTAATCCTAAGATAATTGAACATCATTCTCTAAAAAATGAGGAGGCATGTGCCTCGATCCCTCAAATCTGCTTTAAACAGCTCCCAAAATCCTAAATAGCCAGCCACTGATGTGTATACCATTATTTCATATATTTTTGTTAAAGCATTATCTTTCTCTCTCTGAGATTAACATTATAGTGCCATCCATGTATAGATGACATGACTCATCCAGATTTTAAAAGTTTAGCATGTCACCTGAAAATAGGTGACATGACTGTAACTGTTCCAGCAAAGAAAAAAAAAAAAAAAAAACAATCTGTAACTCATGAATGAAAAGATAGTTGCCGAAAAATTAGTACCTACATAAATCTTGAATTATTTAACTAACAATCTAAGTAACAAAATTGCAAAAAAAATTATGGTCCTAGAAAGTTTTACTGAATATTATCTGGCAGTCATCTTGTTAGTATAAATCATAATTATTATTTTTAAGTTATGAAAAAATCTTTTTTTTTTCTTTTTTGTTGAGTTAAGGAAACTTGCATTTGTAATTTTTCTGGAATCAAAAATTTCTAGAAATAGATAGTTCTTATAAACAATAACTCATAACAGATTTACATTAAACTACATATAATTTTAAAAATAAAATTTAAAAATTTTTACTTATCAAATTCAAGTTAAATTAATCAATTATTACCTGATTAATTTTTTTGCTCTTAGGTCTAAGTTTAACAGGAGATGATACTTCATCAGATGCTCCCGATGCCTCTTCACTCTCTCCATCTGAACCAATACGTGGATGTTCATGGACAACACCTGAAATTCAATTAAAATATTAAATAAAATAGTTTTTATTATTTAAATATTAGATAAACAAAACTAATGTATTGTTTTTCATAAATAAAAATCTTAGAAATAAATAGGAAATTTTGTTTGTTTGTTTGTAACACTGTCATACAATTGCACACGTGAGGCATTTGTGTTTGAATTTGCAGTGTCATTGAATTTTGTCTTCTTTTCTCCCCACTTTTCTTCAGGAAATTAATCTCTCTTTTTATTTACTTTCTTTTTATTTATTTACTTTTTATTTTTATTTCTTTTTATTTGTATTTTATAGAGATTTTGCAAAAATCCACAGTTTCTTTAGAATAACCATAAAAGTTCATTTTATTAATGCATTATCTGGAAACAAATTGAAATGATTTCCAGAATATTTTCAGATGTAATAGAAGCCTCCCACTTCCATCATAATGTTTTCAATAAGTCTGCCAATAGTTATTCTGTGAAAAGTTTTAATGAAGAAGAAAAAAATGCTTCAATTGACTTTATTCAATTAATAGACACTTTTAATTAAAATCAAACATTATAATATAAAAAAAAAAAAAATCAAAAAATTGTTCTCTCTCTAAAAATAATAATCCAATAAAATACATGCTTAAAGTTTTACTTTTCTACTCTTCCACTCTATTTCTATATATTTTCTTTTAAATTTATTAAAAATACTAAATATTTTTAAAAATCTTCTTCATTAACATTTAATACAATTTGTTACTTTTGCAAAGTTGTCTCTTATTATTACTATTATTATTTTTATATTTTTTTAAAATCAGACACTGTTTCTGATTTGAAAAATTTATCATTAGGAAGAAATATATTTGTATTTAAAATGCCAAAATGCAGTAAAAATTTGTAATATTTATAAAATGCTGTCTACTTTTTCTCAAATGTTTTCACTGTATACCTCATAGTTTTTGTGAACATCTACAGATCATTTCATATATTTTTTTTAATTGAAAGTAATCTTATCTACTGTAGATTATGACTTGCTTCTCATTTTATTGAACAAAATTCAATGATAAAAATCAGCTTTATTAGCTCCAATAAAACAATTTTTTTTTTTTTTTTTATCATTATAAGACATTGGAGTTGTTTTCATTACTTATGAACAAAATTCTCATTATTTTATGGTTAAATAAATAAANTGTGTTATGTAGATAAGTAATTAACAGTTGCTTATAAATCACAATATTTTTATATGAAAGAATAAACTGCAGATGCAAAAAATATATTATGAAATCTTTAACCTGCAATATAATTAAAATTAATAAAATTGTTTCTTGGGAATTTGTCCAATTCTTTAGCCAAAATGATTAATTGAGATATTTAGTGCAAGCAACCAATAGGAAAACAAAGTTAATAACTAAGCACTTTGATACTAACTAATCATAACAAATTAAGCCACAAATTGTTAATTTTTTCTATTGAATTTTACATACATTCATTATTATTTTTTTTATATTTTTTGCATTGAAGTAAATACACTGTGTATAACTTTATGCAAATATGTGTTGTGTAACACTTAATGAGATAGACTAATGACATTTCAGAGTTCTGTGGAATGCTAATTAAAAAGCACTAGTCTATAGCATTAATATCACTACTTACTAAAGTATCTTGAAATTAAACACATTTACTTTTTCATTTAATAAACCTTGTTTTTTATTATCTGGCCATAAGAATATTTTAAAAATATTCATGCATGAATAACTTTTTTTTAATTTAAAAATATCAATGACTATGAACTAAAGATAAAATACATCACTAAAAATTTAATTTAAAAATTACCGATTTGATTATATAATAAAACAGTATTATTATTGTCAGCAGGGATACTAATGACATTATTATTAATTCTGGAGTGTGCATGCAAGTAAAGGATCCACATATGTTAAGACCAGTTATTCCAAAGAAACATATTCAAATTTGAAAAAATGTGTTCTATGAACACACAAACAGTCACAACATATAATTTCTCTCTTATTTTAAGCAAATGAATTAAGAAATTTTCCCCTTTTGTTTGTTCTTCTAAAAAAGACAAGACCAAGGCTTGACTTGATGCAACACACAACTTTACTTCATTTTTATAATGATATGCATTTTGAGTATTTCTAGCACTCCTCTTCAGTCATGAATTTGTTAATAAAGTTGCACATATCCCTTCCAACAATATTTATTACAAACAGAAATCCAAGATCTGAAAACAATAATCTTAATAAAGACAGAACCTTAAGATCCAAAGCAAGCATCTAATTAATTTAAAATCAATTCACTGTACTAAAAATGAAACAAAGCTGTTGCATCAAGTCAAGTATTGGTCCTGTCTTCTTTTAGAAGAACAAAGAAAAAAATTATTAACTGCAGTTCTCTATAATTAATATCATAATTATAAAATAACAATTTTTTCAATTTAACACATATAAAAAATTAAATCAAATCTGTAACAAAAGAATCATAATTTATATGTTCCTAAATAAAAAAAAATTATTTTCATAAAAAAATTAACTGAAAGTTTGTTAGTACACAATACAGCAAAATTCGCACACTCATGAAATCTTTAAAAACAGCAAAAGCAATTTAATTACAAACATTTTTGGTCATTTCTAAAGACTATCCTCAGGTAGAATACAAAATTGAACTTAGCAAAAAAAGAATATAACAGGTAATTTTCTGAACGTGGAATGTCGATTGTTTTTTCATTAAGTTTGATTTTGTATTCTATCCGAGGATGGTCTTTAAAAATTACTGAAAATATTTGTAATTAAATTGTTTCTGCTGTTTTTAAAGGTTTCATGAATGTCTGAATTTCCATATTTGTAGTTTCTGTTTTTACAGCAAAATAATAGATAATCTGTAACACTTTTACTTTTAAAATTTTTTTCAGTTAGCGATAAATTATGTAAATATCTTTCCTGTATTTGACTGCACATGAATATATAGTTATTTTATTACACATACTGTATAATATTAGTCTTGACTATAAATAAAATTTATTTATTCTAAAAATGTGTTGTTTCAAAATTGCACAAGAAATAAAATATTTTAAACCTATAAGCCTGAAAAATGGGATATATATATATATATACATACAGGGTATATCAGAATACTGTTTTAAAAATTTGGGGGATTATAAAGGATGAAATTTTGAACGTTTTGATATAAGGAACCTATAACTGGAAATGTGATATAATGTTTCTACAGCACTTTTCACGTTCCATGCGGTTGGTATGCTGAATGAAACAATAATAATAATAATAATAAAGGAGAAGGAAGGGCTGTCTGATTTTGCAAAGTTAGCTCACTACGAAGAGAAGGGAGTGAAGAAAAGGTTGAAGGAAGGGTTCTGAAGGGAGAAGTATAAAGGAAAAGAGGAAAAGTAACGCTGAAAAAAGTTATTAGGACCTCAGAGTGCTGCATTGGAAATTATTAGTAACCAAAATTACAAAAGTTGACAAGACCATTATACAGTATTAACAATTACGAGAAATGGTCTGGTTACAGTAAAATGCAAAACCCATTACATAAGGGTAGGTATAAACTAACCTTAAACACTGCAATGTTACAATAACATTAAGAACTGGTTACAATTTTAACACGCAGAGAGAATGTAAATATCAGCTTACTATGATATAATAATAATACAGATTACATGGTACAGTACGTGAGGACCTGATACATATAAATGGGAATTTTTTTTTTAATCTAGAATCTAAAACTAAACTAATACTAGACAACTAAACTATGTACAGAAGAATTCTACATGGCTGATCAATCAATCGCTGATAGCATCACTTTTCCGATTTTTCACTGTCTTCCTGTTCATCTTGTCTGTTCTTGTTTTCATTCTTGAGAATTTTTTCTTTCCTGTAGAAGTCTGGCAGAAGAGCCCTGGTGCTTTCAATAAACCTTTCAAAACACTTCCAGAGATTTTTCTTATCAAAAATGTTTTGTAGTGTCGGTGGCCAATTATGACCTTCTTGAAGGCATTCCCTANTCCACTAATGATACTTTTATACTCAATCAGGAAAGGCATATCATATAATTTTTAGTTAGGAGTCCAAATTATTCACAAAGCATATAAATAAATCCATGTATTTTCTCATAAAGTAATGAAAAACTTTCTACATTATTTTGCAATTCCACAGCTTTTTACACTAAAACAACATTCTTTTTACGGCATTTCAACATTATAATTCATCTGATAACGTCAACTTTATCTATACTAAGGTTACAACAGTAAAGTCGAATAGAAATGCCTGCCTTGGGGTGAGATTTAGGGCCATTTTAAAGCGATCAACGTCTTCGTTTACACTCAAATCGTTAGTGTGTTGCATCGTAAATCTACTACGGATTTTACTGACATATAACTAGACCATCCAAACATTAAAATAGTAAGCATTAGATCGATAAGTTATCTAGCTAGCCTTTTGATTATCTAGATAACATAAATCAATGACGAACATCATTCCTCAACTGATATTCTTCCGGATAGGAGGGGGAAAATCAGTTAGAGGAGGAAAATTCGATAAAATAAATGGGGTGGACGTAAATTTTAAATCGTTATTTCTTCCTGAACGAGAGAAAGGGATGGCTCTGCAAAGATATTACCCATTTTTTCGTAATTTAATTAGCATAAAAAATAAATTTCTATACATTAAAGAAGTTTTAAAGATTACGCTAGAAAATGCCACTTGCATTGTTATATTCAAATAAAGTCTCCCCTACCTCTCCTAATTAAAAGTGCAAACGAAAGTTTCTCACAAACATTAATCACGAGATGTAACCATGACTTAAACGAATTTAGCCTATGCCAATTCAAGAACTGAATCAGAAAAATCAATAGAATACGTTTAATCCGTATTCCTTAGTGAAAAGTTTAAATTCAAAATTAAATTTTAAAAAAATGATATAAATAAGAAAAGCAATTTTATTAATAAAATTTTGTTTTTATTTCAATGCTGTCACTTTCAAAGAACAGA